TCTTTCCCTGGCTCCTGCTCCGAGATGGATGCCTTCTCCAAGATCTCTCTCTCTTTCCTTTCTGCACCCAACTGTAGCTCTGACTTCAAGTTGTAGCTTTCCTTCTTATATCCCCTTTACTATCTGAAGTTTCCTCTTGGATGCAGCTGGCATTTCAAACCCAACTGCCTAATGGTACATTCACCTGACCCATGACCACCTCTATTAATGGTTCCACCCTCCTTCCAGTCATTGAGACTTGAAACATTACCTTCATCTGTGGCTTACCTTCCAGATCATTGCCCTCCACCCACATTCCAATTCATCACCAAGTCTGTACACTTAGCTTTCCTTGTAATTCTCCTATCACTTTCCCTCTCCTGTTCCTGTTCTGGTTTTAGTTTGGAACAGAAGTGATGTTTCCCTTCTCTGAGGCACCAAAGCACTGACTTGTATGACACTGTGATTCTGCTTTGCATGGTATTTATGTGCTTACTTTTCTTCTTGTCAGTATTGAACTGTAGATTCCTTGAGAGCCAGAATTATGTATTTAATTTTAAAGAATTTGAACAGGGAAATGATGATGAAGAAGATGAAGGCCCCTCCTGAAAGAACTCACATGCTTGAATAAACAGATGCTGAATGGGAACAAAATACTTACTGCAGAATACATAACAAGTTTTCTGTGGTTCAATGGCTGAGTTGCACTCTTCATGTGATAGAGGATTTCTTTGACCAGGACACCTTAAAGAAGATAGATCAACAATTGAGCTGAACCAAATATGGGCTTATATTTTAGTTCATAAGCTTTTTGCTCATTCATACAGAGATTCTCTCTGCCAGGATTCTTAAGACTTAAGAAGAGAGGGCAAGAACTCATTTTGGTGGAGCATCTGCTGTGTGCTAATAGTGTGATTTGTATACATTATTTCACTGAATCCTGACTTCTATCCCCATTCATGAGTGAGGAAGCTGAGGCTCAGAGCCATTAAGTGACTCACTCAGCTGGGGAAGGAGAGCTGGATTGGCATGTTAGGACTTTAGCATACCAGATTTTGTTAAAACTCAAGTTAGGAGGTTGATGAACTTGGAATTTCAGACAGGTTTTTACAGATAGTTGTTAGCCATTGCTCTTGTCCAGAGCAGGTCTGAAATGACAGGGTGGCATGCACCTCTCTGTCTTCATCCCTCTGGCAGCCACACCTGTGAGAGGCCAGGGGAGAAAGCAGCTCTCTGGATGTCTGCAAGGGTGCAGACTGTCTTCTGTGGACCATTGCTCCAGGTTACTCTGGGTGTCACTATTAGGGGGGCAGCCAGCACTTTTAGTTTTCATCTGAGGGCTCCATCTGTCATCAATAGAGGAAAGCTTTTGCCCTTTGCATTTGTTGCTCCTGAGGTGGTAAAAGGCACACAGACACAGGACAGAGTCTCCATCCCATCAGCAGACACTGAGGCTGAGGATACCTCGTGGTGCAGGTGCTGTCCTGAGGACGTGCTGCCTCAGGGGCTTCCACACCATCCACCGAGGACTCCTTGTGTCTCTGTTGGTCATCTCTCTACAGTGCATGTGGTGTCCTCACTTAAGGATGACCAGTTTTCTTTTGTAATGAGCAGGGCATTGATGTTAACAGAAGATTATGATCCCAGATTCTGTGGTCCACTCAGCAAAACACGCACTGAGCAGCTACGATGGGTGAATCAGACATGGCCCGTCCTCAAAAAGCTCATAAAACAGTGAGAAAAGACTGTCTATTGGTCTGTGTACCAATAAGCACAATTAAAGAGGGAGGTCATCTGCTCTTTCTTTGGGTGCTAGGGCTTCCTTGACTAGGAATAGAGGGAGCTAGAGGCTGCACAGGTCTGCACCTTTCTGCCTCAGGGAAGGTTGCCCTCTGGGAGCCCTTCAGAGCTTAGGCTTGATCTTCGGGCCATGATGGAACTAAATTCTGTGGCCGAATTTCTGGGAGTCATGACAGCCACCTTCAATCAGCAACTTGTCCCTTGTCAGCAGGTGCCTTTGCAGCAGCTTTCAGTGTTGATGATGGAATAGATCAGCTCTTGGTTCTGGGGTGCTTGTGCAACTTGTCCCAGGAGAAAATAGGGGTAACTATCATAATCATTCACAGCCTCTGGCATGCCAATAGTCATGGGTTTTTTGTGTTTTTTTGTGTTTTTTTTTTGTGTGTGGTATGCCAGCCACTCTTGTGGCCTCTCCCGTTGCGGAGCACAGGCTCCAGACACGCAGGCTCAGCGGCCATGGCTCATGGGCCCAGCTCCTCCGTGGCATGTGGGATCTTCCCGGACCGGAGCACGAACCCGTGTCCCCTGCATCGGCAGGCAGACTCTCAACCACTGCGCCACCAGGGTCGACCAATAGTCATGTTTTATAGGAGGGGAAACTGAGGCTCAGAGAGGTTCAGCAACTTGTCCAAAATCATACAACTTGTAAGTAGAGGGGCTGAGTTTCACTGAACTCAGCATGTCCAGCTTCAAAACCTTCGTCTTAATTATTAGGCCTCACTGTAGCTAGCTTCTAAGTTCCCTGGTGCATCATTTATTAAATCTGCATACACTAGACAGGATACTATTGATTTGAAGACATAAACTTCACTTCTCTCACTATTAGGCTATATCAGGAGTTGGCAAACTTGTTCTATAAAGGGCCAGTAGTACATGCTTTAGGCTCCATGGACCAGGTGTTCTGTCACAACCATTCATTCTCAAGTGGAAGCACAAAAGCAGCCAAAGATACTACCTAAATGCATGAGTGTGGCTGAGCTTCAACAGCATTTTATTTACAAAAAATAGGCAGCAGGCTGGATTTGGCCTGCAGGCTGTTGCCTGCCGACATCTGATCTATAGCAAGAAGCAGTTTGCATTAACATAAACAGGACCGGCCATATATTCCTAAATTAGCCTTAGGAATTAGCCTAGAGATTTTCTTGTGTGTATGGGGGTGTGTTGTGGGGGAAGGCAACGGGAGCAGGATATTACTGAACAGTGTCACCCTTGAAACCAAGTGATGGAACAGAAGTTTTGGCAAAGGTAAGAAAACGCCAGTCAAAGTCCTGATGTTCCCTTGTGACTCTGTCTCCCAGACTGTACATGCTTTCTCTTCAGGGTTGGGTTCAGGTGCTTCATAACAAGTGTGTAGCTGACAAATCTCTCTTGCCTTGCCAGATCTGAACAATATGCTGAGCTTGTGTCTTGGCAGAAATCACTAAGGAAACAATTTCCTGGCTTATCAATAGCACTGGGCTTCCCCTAGAAAATAGGACAGGTGTATGCATATGAGTGCCAGTCCTTATAGAGTCCAAGACCCAGAGACCACCTTAGGGAAGAACTCTGATAGACAAATCTAGTTTAGTGAACTCATCAGATGGGGAAACTGAGACACAGAGAGGGGAAGTGGCTTCTTCAAAATGCAATCTCTAGTAGCAAAGGAAAAAAGTAAAGGAAATATGAAGCAAGCTGCTGGGAAAACGCCCATCTTATATTCGGATACAGACCCCTGCATTTATTAACAGATTCTAGTCAACCCCTACCTGGATTTCCCTGCCCTTTTCTTCACCATCTCCTACATCTAGAGAAGTGCTTCTGAAACTTTATTGTACATGTGAGGTATCTAGGGATTTCATTAAAATGCAGATTCAGATTCAGCTAGTCTGGGGTGGGGCCTGGGATTCTGCATTCCTTTCTAGGGGCTTGGTGATGCTGACGTTGCTGGTCCATGGACTGCATCTTTAGTAGTGAGGGGATGAATTCCTGAGCCCATCATAACTTGGTTGGGGAAATGAAGAATCTTGTCTCTACCATCTGATGCGTTTGGCCACCATACTGCTGGTTCCTGCTGGTTCAGGAATGAGATCTGGTGCTTATGTGGCCAATGAGGTCCAACTTTCACCCTCTGCATCCTTTGTTGTTTGGTACGTAGGATTGAGTTGGGTCTTGGGCTCTGTTCCTACACACAGTCTGTGTTCTGCCTGCTAATTTTTCCTAAGACACCAGATTCCATCTATGACTCATTTCTGGATGCTCTCCCATCCCCAGGGTCTGGGTCTTGTGGTTCATACCCTCAGCACGGAGTGAGGACTTGTACATTCTCATCAAGTCTCTCTCTGTATTGTGCAACCAAGGGCTCTGTAACAGCAGGTCTGCAACACTATTACATCATTCATGATCACTGCCCTAAATTATTTGTCCCAAGGTACTCTGTTCACCTCATATGAAATTACTCCCAACCATCCTGACTTCATACCTCATTAGCTGTTCTGGTTACAGCTTACTTCACTCTTTATATGAGCTTTTGTAACTATAATTGACTCCTCTCCTGGCTGGTGACTTGAATTCTTTCTCTAGCTCTGCAGCCCTGAGTGAACATCCTCCCAGTCTGGTCCAACCACCAGGATGCTTTGTCTCTGTATTCTCCTGGGTGTCTGCTGAACTTGTCCAACCTCATGGTGAATAGTGTCTGGCAATTGTTGGAGTCCTGATGTGATTGCACTGTTTTCTTTAAAGTCTCTAGAGTATCTGACTCAGAACATCTCCTGTGACTTAAATTTTCCTCATTGTTATGACAGCCTGGCATAATAGACTTCTTCTTTCTCTCCATCTTTACTTTTAATGTCTACATTAACAACACAGGTTCAGACCTGCCATATCCTCAGGGGTCTTGGCCTGCCACTCAGCTGCCCTCAGAGCCTCAGCATTTATCCCCATCCTGCCTGGTCTTGTCTTCTTTCTTCGACCCATCTATCCTGATTACAAGGACTGGGCTCCTTCATTGTGATTAAATGTCCTGTTCTACAAAGGGCCAAATCCAGCTGAGAAGAGGCATCACTGAGAAGCAAACATCTTTCAACACCAATGGAAAAATTTAAGCTGTGTCATAAGCTTGTCAATTGCAATAGGTATTAATCTACAGGGCATAATTAGCCTGCAAATTAAACTGTATTTACTTTAACAGTGGCTACCGCCAAGGGTTTTAGGAAAACAGGCCACTTTTGCTATACCTCCCACTTGAAAAATTCACCCTATAGGTCACCAGACACAATTGATTTTTATGTGGCTCAGATATAAATCCATGATTCTTTGATCTGGAAAGGATGAAAAGTATCATTTAGCTTTAGCCCAAAGCTTCTGTTTTCCAGATGGGAAAACTAAGGCTCAGAGTGGGTAATATTAATGATCATAACAACACATAATGTTTGATAGTGTATTATGTATCAGGTACTATTTGTGGTAAGCCTTTGGAATACATACATTCATTTTAATCCTTACTACTAAAGAAGTGGGTATTATTATTATCCCCAATTTGCAGAATGGAAACTGGTACAGGGGTGATTACGTGTCTAATTCAAGGTCACATAACTTATTAACGGTGGGACCAGGACTCAGACCCAGATCACTTAACCACAATGCTTCTCTCATTTTTAAAATACTTACCCCCCTGCAGTCTAGATTTCTCTTTCTGTTTGTGAATTCCATAGAGGGACAGGAGGGACAATTCTGATATTTCTTTCAACTTAGTCATGGTGTCCTCTGTGGCCCAGGAGGGTAAAGTGAAATTGTGAACACCCTGTAGCAAAGACAAAGGAAGAAAATGTATATTTTTATTTCTGACTGTCCTCTTTATTAACTTTTTAATCCCCATTCCCCCACAAAAAGTACTGGGTCCAGCCTTTCTTGAGAGAGAGGGAGATTTCATGAAAGAGGAGACCAAAGTGAGGTAGCCTACAGAAGAATTAAGTGAGAGAGAAGTAAAAAAAAAAAAAAAAAAAAAAAATGGGGCCATCTGACTGTCCTCTTTATTAACTTTTTAATCCCCATTCCCCCACAAAAAGTACTGGGTCCAGCCTTTCTTGAGAGAGAGGGAGATTTCATGAAAGAGGAGACCAAAGTGAGGTAGCCTACAGAAGAATTAAGTGAGAGAAAAAAAAAAAAAAAAAAAAAAAAAAAAGTAATGTGGCCACAACTTGGAATAGCTCAGATCAAACTGCAGTAAGGAAAAAAAAAAACCCCAAGACTTGAACCAAAAAGTGGGTTATTGTTTTTATTGAAGACTCTTTTATAAGACTAACAAATCTTCCTTGAAACAGATGCTGATGATAAAGTGAAAATATTGGGAATGTTGCGTGTGCTTGGGTCAATGAACTCTAACATAGAGGGGTGCAAACTGTATCATTTGCTATCAAGATGGAACTATGAAAGTAATTGTCATCCCCAGACACTCACAATGACCTCAAAATCAGAGGTGTATAGGAGTCTTGTGGCTGGTCAGAATTTTGCCCCAAGATTCAGTGAACTGGCTGGGAAAACAGGATTATAGAGTTTTCCTTCTGGCCAGCAGGTGGAGAATGGTGATTGAGAAAAACATCATGAAGCCCTGAAAAAATAGTAATTTATCTAGCTAAAAAGGTTGTTTCACATGCATTGTATAGCAAAAGAGAAATTCTTTCCTGATAAACCAATTTTAATAGCCTGGCTTAAAGTTGGCTTGCTTATTTCTATATACAAAAATCAGGTAATTTTTTTTCTTCTTCTTTCTGTACAACAGTATTGCTTTTTTCATTAAAGTCTATTTAATGAAATGAAGCCCAGTGTTCCTGAGTGACTGAAAATAAGTTAAGTGGTAAGGCACATAAAAAGCAATTTTGCCTAAATTTTCTTTTTTTTTAAGATTTTTTTTTTTTATGTGAACCAGTTTTAAAGTCTTTATTGAATTTCTTACAATATTGCTTCTGTTTTATGTTTTGGTTTTTTGGCCATGAGTCATGTGGGATCTTACTTCTCCAACCAGGGATAAAACCCACACTTCCTGCATTGGAAGGTAAAGTCTTAACCACTGGACCGCCAGGGAAGTCACTGCTTATAATTTTCTAAAGGGTGTATACATAAATAAGAGAGAGAAGAAGTCAGAATTTTCAAGTTAATATAAAGAAGTCTTGACTTATGTTTCAATGTCAAAGGAAGTCTAAATAGTACATCTGTATAAAAGCAAAATAAAATGTATTCATCTGTTTCAAAATAGGCATAAATCATAAAATCAGATGGTAAGTTAACATTTTTTCTTTTACCTCACAAAATAAAGGGTCGTAGACTTTACTCCAAATTCCAAAAAGGTCCTGGTCATGGTATCCTGTAAGTTTTGGCAAGATTTCTATAAAATCCTGAAACACACACAGAAGGAAAAAATTTTTATACCAGGGTTTCTCGACTTGGGCATGATTGATATTTGGGCTGGATAATTCTTTGCTGTGGGGCTGCCCTGTGCACTGTAGGATGCTCAGCAGCATCCCTGGCCTCTACCCACTAGATGCCACATCATCCCTAGTCCCTCAGTTGCAACAACCCCAAATGTCTCCAGACATTGACAAAGGGTCCCTGTGAGGCAAAATTGCCCCCATTGAGAACTGCTGTTCTTCACGTAATACTGGCTAAGTGCACCAAAGACTTTTACAAATGCTAATTGATCATTTCTTATTATTACATTAAAAATGTGGGCACCTGCTGGCTTACTGCCACATGTCCCTGGTTTGTCCTGGAATCAGACTGAAGTGCACTGCCTCAAATTCATCTTGGAAGTAGGTGAAGTATAACTCACATGTAAATGAGTGGAAGGGAGAAGGGAAAGCATGTCTCAGACCAAAGCACCCCAGGAAGACACAACAGAAACTGGGTCTGGCATCTGGCTATAAATGTGGGATTTGGATGGGATGCAAACATTTCTCTAGGTTCTGTATTATTTTTGGATTGTCATGGTAATGAGACCCATTGATCAGCTGTCTGCATGATGAATTGGTAGCAATTTCTGGGAAGCCTTTGGAAGATGCTGTTTGTCTGATGAATAAATTTTCTAGGAAAATATATTTTGCTAATATTAACCCAAAAGGATTTCCATAAAATAAACAGAAATAATTATTAAAGAGCCCACAACCTCCCCCAACAAAACAGAACAAAACAAAACAAAAGCTCCATGGCCAGATAATTGTATTGGGAAATTCTACCAAGCTTTGTGCTATTTTAACTGACCTGGAGCATAATAAAAGAAAGAAAACTTCCAAAAAATTTGTATAAGCATTGATACTGACAAAGACTGACCAGAAAAGAAAACTATTGTCCAAAATTATTTTGAATATCAGTGCAAAAAGTCTAGGTAAAATATTAACAGATAATTCAATATCATACTAAAAAAGGGGGGGGCTTGAATCTAGACATGTAAAGATAGCTCAATAATAGTAAATCTATGAATATAATTAATCTTAGTAATTGATCCAAGAGAAAAATAACTTGATTTTACTAAAAATGTTGAAAAGACCTTTCAAAAAATTAAACACCAATATTGACAAAAACACTCAAGAAAATAGGAAAGATAGCTAATTCCTTAACTTGATAAAAATATGTCTATTTGGTCCAAAAGCCAGAATGCTTAATAGGGAAATACTTCTAAAATCAGGAATAAGACAAGGATACCCACTACCAATACTATTATGTAATAATGGACTGTAAGTACTGGCCAGTACAAATAGGCAAAATAAATCAGAGGTATAAATATTGGAAAAGTAGACGTAAGCCATGATTTTTTTGCAGATCTTATAAGCCTGGAACAAACTTAATAAAAAATATAAAGACCTATATGAAGAAAACCTTAAAACAATCTTGAAGATAAGAACAAATAGGAAAATGTATCATGTTCTTGGAAAGGAAAACTCAACAAATTTGCAACAAAGTTGTAAATTCTCCCTAATTTATACATTTAAGATAACCCCAACAGAAACACTGAAAATTTAAATGAAAACATACCCATGAAAACTCAGAAAAAGTAGAGAATGAGGGAGAGAATATGTAATATGCTTTAAATATTAAAGCATATAAAATTCATAATAATTATAACAGTGTGGTTTTGGCTAATAAAATGAAAGAATAATTTAAAAGAATAAAAATTCTAGAAATAGACCTTATACATATGGGAATTTTAATATGTAACAGCTCAAATTAGTGGGGAAAAGATGAACTACTCAATAAACAGTGATAGCGCAATTAGGTAACATTCTGGAAAAAAAACTTCAGCAGG